GTATATATTCTTTGGATGGATGTTGGATTGATAAGCGAAATGTGACATCGACGCATAATAAACCTGGTTCTGATTGTTCATTTCACAAACCCCTCCCCCGCAGATGGAGAAAGACGAAACAGTGGGAGACTCCTCTCCGCACATCGCCAACATCGGCCGCCTTGTGGAGGTGAGGGGAACTGCGGCCGCTCTTTGTGACAGCCTGTGGAATGCGCCGGAATGTCCCCCACAGGAGTCGTATTTGCCTTTTATTTTTTTTCCGGCGTTAAGTTTCTTGTTTCCCTCTCTCTCAGGACATGGAGAACAAAATCCGCTCTACCCTGAACGAGATCTACTTTGGGAAGACCAAGGACATTGTCAATGGCCTGAGGTAATGTCTCCTTGTCGGGAACGACGTGCAAAAACAGTTTTGGGGGAGAGCGATCTGACATGGCGGAGGGTTTGCGCAGCCCTGTGAGTCAGTCCCAGCTGCCTGACAGAGGAAGTCCCGGTTCGGCTGCGGTTTAACTGCAGTCCAGTTTGCCCTGTGACCTTTGACCTTTCCCTGAAATGTCTCATTTCCCCCCCGTGTACCATTTCAGCCTGTTCACCCTCCTCCTTTTCATAATCCCATGTTTAAATCCTTATCCTTCAAACGCTCTTTCTCCTGTCTTGCTCCTCTCCGCCCTCCCTGTCTGTCCCCTTATCGCTACCCCCCCCGCCCCATCGTGCCTCTGTTTCCCTGCCTCTCATTTCACCCCCTGTCCTCCATCCCCTTCCCTCCCTCTCCAGATCAATTGAGTCTTTGCCCGATCCCAAAAGGTACCAACAGCTCCAGAAGGAGCTGTCCCAGGTTCTCACCCAGCGCCAGAGCCTTATTCAGCCCGACAACTAGGGCATCGGAGGTACAGCGGGCGCTGTCCCGCCCGCGCTTTTGGCATGGTGTGGGGGACGGTGCGGTGCGGGCCTGGGTCCTGAACCCCCGGCGGGGATGCCAAATGCTGGGTTGCTCCTGTTAGTCGCCCTGACATCTGTGGCCTTAGGATCACAGAGAGCAAAGCCTGCAGAGTGACTAATCATACAACAGCAAACCCTTTTCTAGCTACTGAGCCTGTTTTTTAATGGTGTCACCTGATGGCCTGGACACTGACTCTACTAAACTTGCTTCAATGCTGTATAACAACGTATGAATTTATTAACCTTGTTGAAGTGTCGTCGTCGTCGTCGTCCCCCCCCCCTTTCCCCCGACTGGATTTTAATCAGAGAAATGTCCCACGTTCTAGATGCTAAGTGAACTAATCTTCCTCCCACCATAACCCTTTTCTTATTGGCTGCACAGGTGCCTGGAAAACTCCCCTGTTTAAAGTTCAGCTCTCACTCCATCTCTCTCCCTCTTTCTGTCTTTCTCAGGAGTATCCAGACCCTGGCTGATATATCCAAGCAAGAGGCTTTGAGGAATGACCTGATGGAAGCGCTCAAACGCAAACAACAGAGCTAGAAATGCCCTTGCTCTCTCTCTCTCTCTCTCTCTCTCTCTGTCTCTTTCTGTCTCTCCCCTTTTCTTCTGAACCTCCCTTCCCCAGGACTGTTTATGGTCCTCTGTCTGCCCAAAGCTCTCTATTTCCTTATTGTCTTATTTACATTGTCTTATTTTTGTCTATTCTGCTTATATGTCGATCGGTTACAAAAGGAAAATGTATTTTATTTCATAGCTATTTTTATTTTGTTTTTCTTTCTTCTGGGAGCACCTCATGGCCGTGGAAGCCGTCCGCCCTCCTGGCTGTTTCCCCTCTTTGACGGCAGAAGTACGGTATCGCTGGTTACCACAGCGACTTTACCCCCTTTCTTGCTGGGATTTTGGATGGGACTGTACACCACGACCTTCGCTTTTCTACTAAAGGCAGCTGGGCCAGGCTGGGAGTGGAGCTAGAGAATATACATTTTTTTCCTGCATCTTTTTTTTAAATCTGTACTCTAAGCGTAATATTGACTTTTGCGCTCGATCTGAGCTCCGCCTCTCACGCCTCCCAGGTTTCCCATGTAAAAAGTAAAATGTTACTGTTTAGCCCCGCGAGGGAGTCTCCCATCAGTTTCCTGTGCTGTGGGGGCTTCCAGCTGCTGCCTGCTGCCCCACCCCTCTGTAACCCTGCCCCCATCCTGCCCTCTAGTGGGGGAGGGAGGTAATTGCTGACAAATACTCAGATGTATAGAAAAGGACAGTCATAATAGGAGGGGGAAATATGTCTACAATGTGAACCGATATCACCACGTTTTTTTAGGGGGGGTTGCTTTCTGTCACTTGTGGGAAGGTTTTTTTTTGTTTGTTTTTTTTTTGTACTTCTTTTGTCGGTTCAGTCATTTCTGTTTTTGGAATGCTTAGTCTGTTCGTATTGGTAGAGCGTCCATCATCAATAAAAACCAAACGTGATAAACCGCCACTTCCCGAATGCTGACTCCCCCTCGCGCCACGCACCCGCCTCTCGCGAGCCAGACGTTGCAGCTGAGCAAAGACCGAGGCGCCAAAAAAGGAAGTCGAGCTAATTGCCGTTCGTCAAGAACTGAAAAATCTGCAGTAGGACCCCTGATGATTTTACAGCTCTCATATGAGACTGCGCTGTGGTTAACGACAGACCTGCATAGTTCCGTCAGTGTAAATAACCGTGCAATTAAATGTTAAGAAGATAGATCAGCAGGCAGCATTTGTTGATCCCAAGAGAACATTTGCATATAGCAGCAAAAAGATGAAGTAAAACCGATGCAAACACTAAGAAATCTCAAGACAGCGTGGGAACAATGCACATTCATACTATGTACCACGACATTGTGCAAAACTTAATATAAATTATCAAAATGTGTACATGTGACACAGTCATATAGTTCAAGACTTTACCACATTAATGAGCCCTTAGTACGGGAGTTGGCATGCGAAGTCCTGTCTGGATACCGATTCCCTTAGTCTGTGGCACTTACACGTGTATGTGTACGTTTTTCATTTTAATCCAAATACCGTTTGTTTTTAAGAACGCATAATCAAGCTTTGGATGTGTGACGTCACTGGGGAAACAGCTGGAAGGCTGATGGACCGGATACACCTTTGAGGTGACTGACACTGAGCCACGCTGCAGGATGTGCTGCTTAATAGGGTCACGTTTCTTTAATGCCTATGACCCGTCAATGAGTGTTTTTTTTTTTTCGGGGGGGGGGGGGGGTGAGTAAATGCGACCAAAACAAAACAGCGATCCGCATTTTATTACCCTGAATTATAGATTGCCATTATCATGTAGAATATTTAGGAGAAGGGTCTACCCTGTCACTGTACCCTAGCGCTGTGCCCTGTCACTGTACCCTAGCGCTGTGCCCTGTCACTGTACCCTAGCGCTGTACCCTGTGCTGCCTGGGACAGGCGCTTTTCCCCTTCGATCCTGTCCAGGATATGTGGTTCAGAATTAGAAGGATGGGAAATTTAGAACAATAAATGAATTTAGAAAAAAATCCTTTATAACTAGTTTATCAATTAAAAAAGCATGCATTAGGTGCTTATTTATCGATACGATAGGGGTTTTGTGTACTTAAATGGACCGATGATCACAGCCTCGCTGTCTTTCGCTCCCGAGCGTCATTGGGCTCGACTCGACGTCACGTTCTGGTCCTTGACAGGGTTTGTCCACGAGATGGCGCTGTTTGTTATGTTTCGCACGTTTCTTTCAATGGAACACTTCACAAGTTCTAATACAGGTAACTGCTACATTGTACAAGTTCCCATTTCCAGTTATGTAAAACAAAACAGAGACCCGGTTACAACTTTACACATCGTTTATATTGCTCAGTATATTTAACTTTTATTTTTGCTTAGGCGGAGCTCCACCGGTTTTTAATACTCAGCATTTTTGCACGCACGTCTGATAACTGTACCGAAGTGTTAAATATGAGTCTTGATAGTTCAATAGAAATTATTCTGTCGATATTTCTGCTGCCAAGTTTGCAGTAAGTTTATTTCAGATCTAAAATGAACTTTTTCATATGGGTAGTTATAATCCTTAAATGCTCGTCGTTGTGTTGTCGATTGGTTTTGGAGGATGTGGACATGAGGCATTATAAAGTATCTTCATTTTAAAAGCATGAGTCTCTTCTTATGAGCTAGGTTAAGCGATCCTGAAAAGTTTCCCCACCGTCCAACAGCGTGGGATTCATCGTGTGTCTGTCTATATATACGAAACCCCATTCTCTATAAAGACACCTATCCGTCCAGACTCCAGTACAGGTTTGAAAGGAGCGCTTATTTAAGCCCGTGGATGAGTCTGTGACTGGACGGATTGGTGTTACATTATATATTTACATTTCCAGATAAGTGGATGTAAAGCAGTTGAGTTGAATTCATTGATGTCTCCTTAGATATGTTGCCGCATAGATAACGTATGTATTTTAAAAATTGTTTATGGTTCTAGTTTCCACATTAATTGTAACAGTAGACACCAAATAATAATAATAATAATAGCAGTAGTAGTAGTAGTAATAAATGTTTTGTCTATATAGCGCCTTTCTCACATTCAAGGACGATTGAGCTAAATGTTCTGAAAATAGATCTTCATATATTAATTACACAAAAAGCAAATCTCAAAAAATCAGTGCAATTCAACTTTATGGGAAATCCTTTCATGTAGAGCATGTAAAACAAATAAGATTACGCTACAGTGTTATAGATTATCTTACAGTGCTTGCTCCGCCCGGATGCACCTAAATCTAATACAAAGAAAGTATTAGCCTACACGTTGTCTTAAAATTACAGTTCTGGGAAAACGCTCTGGAATCCACAATGTGCTTATACTTTCTGGTTAATAATAATAAAAGCTATTTTTAAAAGGCAAATGAAACGACAGTCCACTTCTCTGTTCAGTTCAGCTCCTTTAAGATCTGAGTCTTCATTGAATCCTCTCTCTCTCTCTCTCTCTCTCACTCACTCACTCACTCTTTCTCTCTCTCTCTCACACACACACACACACACACACACACACACACTCTCTCTCTCCTCTTACTGTTGTACTGAAACAGGTTTATGATAATGAGAATCCCACAAGGCGCAGGAATAAGTAGAGAGGCCATTTTAATCATTCATCCAAAAATCATCGGAGACGACATTCAGTGGTCCCTCGGAATCGAGTGAGCGGTTCTCATCACGGTCCAGCTGGATATGCAGCCGCGCAGGCTGTATGGGAGCACCGCGTCAAAGGAGTCTGACTCGGCGGAAAGTTTGACAGAGGCATGCCGTAAATTACACCGAGCCGGAGCGGACCCTATTCATTAAAAATGTTCAGCATTATGTGCGATTTCTCGCTGATCATCATCGCCTGGCTAAAACTCGTTCCGTCTGTGGAGTGCTACAGCGTGCACGTCCAGGAGAAGGAAGCCGGCATCCTGATCCAAAGTCTGGGGCAGAATGGGACCTGCACTCTGGAGCAGGTCATCGCCCCCGGTTTCACCAGCACTTTGGTGGAAGCGGACACGGCGGCGGGGCTCGTGTTCGCTTCTCGCTCGCCGGATTGCCGAGGGATCCCCGCCAACCCGCTCACTCTCAGCACTGTTTCACGGTGCACAAGCATCGCGCCCGGTTTCACCCACCTCGTCATTAATCGCTACGACGTACATGTTCACGGCAGGCACTGCCACAATAAACGAAAAAGCAGAACGAAGCCAGATGCTGACATAATCAGTTTGCTCAGCGTCCCTGGATACCAGAAAGCCTGCTACGGCGGCGACACTGCGCTGTTCCCCCTTGGGGAGTTGCTGCCGAACAGAGGCGGGATGCAGTGCAGCGTGACTGCCGGTTCGGACTTCTTCGTTCGTGATGGACAGTTTTTTCTATCAAGGCATCTTTGTTTGAAGCATGGCACTCTGCTCCAATTAGACCTCCACTGTGACAGGCGTTCAAACTCTGTGCCACATGTTACTGTAGTGGGAGGCATTGGAGATATAGAGGACTCCGAAGATTTCACAGTGCACTGGCGAATAGGGCTGGGATCCTCACATGAGGAGCATTTGGAGGAGCTGCTGGATACAGGGGCAGGTGTAGGTTCAGGCGGTGTAAGCAGGCAGAAGAGGAATGTTAACACCAGTCCCCAGTTCCAACCCCCAATCTACCAGGCATCTGTCCCTGAGAACAAGCCAGGAGGGACACCTGTTGTGTTACTCAAGGCAGAGGATTCAGATGAAGGAGAGGCTGGCAGGCTGGAGTACTTCATTGACGCCTTGTTTGACAGCCGCTCAGAACGACTTTTTGCAGTGGACCCCGATAATGGTGCTGTCACCACAGTAGAGGTGCTGGACCGGGAGACAAAGGACACCCACGTGTTTAGGGTGACTGCGGTGGACCACGGCAAGCCACGGCGCACAGCCGTGGCCACACTCACCATTGTGGTGAGTGACACCAATGACCACGACCCCGTCTTTGAACAGCAGGACTATAAGGAGAGCATCCGGGAAAACCTGGAGATTGGGTACGAGGTGCTGACAGTGCGAGCCACAGACGGAGACGCTCCCATCAACGGCAACATCTTGTACCGTATCCTGAACAGCGATGGCTCCAACGAGGTGTTTGAGATCGACCCCAGGTCGGGGGTGATCCGCACTAAAGGCTCCGTTGATCGCGAGCAGGTGGAGGCGTACACTCTTTTGGTCGAGGCCGACGACCAGGGCCGCGACCCTGGGCCACGGAGTGCCACGGCAACTGTCCGCATCTCCGTAGAGGACGACAATGACAATGCCCCCCAATTCAGTGAGAAGCGATACGTAGTGCAGGTCCCTGAGAATATACCAGCTAACACCGAGATTCTACAGGTGAGCGCCATGGACCGTGACCGCGGCAGCAACGCAGTAGTGCACTATAGCATCATGAGTGGAAACACCAGAGGCCAGTTCTACATTGACGCACAGACAGGAAAGATGGATGTGGTGGGCCAGCTGGACTATGAGACCAACAAGGAGTATACGCTACGCATCAGGGCTCAAGACGGCGGCCGCCCACCACTCTCCAACATCAGTGGGCTTGTGACCGTGCAAGTGCTGGACGTCAATGACAACGCTCCAATTTTCGTTAGCACACCATTTCAGGCATCTGTTTTGGAGAACGTTCCAGCTGGCTACTCTGTTATCCACATCCAAGCCATCGATGCTGACTCAGGTGAGAACTCAAGGCTCGAGTACCTCCTCATCGAGACGATGCCAGGATTCCCATTCTCCATTAACAACAGCACAGGCTGGATCATGGTCTCGGATGACCTGGACCGGGAGAGGGTTGACTTCTACAACTTTGCCGTTGAGGCCCGTGATCATGGCTCCCCTCCAATGTCTTCAACAGCTAGTGTGACCATGACTGTCTTGGATGTGAATGACAACAAGCCAGAGTTCACTCAAAGAGCTTATTATCTGCGACTAAATGAGGACGCAGCTGTGGGTACAAGTGTTGTCATGGTGTCTGCCGTGGACCGGGACGTCAATAGCGTGGTCACGTACCAGATATCTGGCGGGAACACTCGTAACCGCTTTGCAATCACCAGCCAGAGTGGTGGTGCCTTGATCTCCTTGGCACTGCCATTGGACTACAAGTTGGAGCGGCAGTACGTCCTGAGCGTCACAGCCTCTGATGGGATGCTCTTCGACACCGGCCAAGTGTACATCAACATCACTGACGCTAATACGCACCGGCCAGTCTTTCAGAGCTCCCACTACACCGTAAACATCAACGAGAACATGCCTGTCGGCACCACAGTCGTCATGATCAGCGCCACCGATGAGGACACAGGGGAAAACTCGCGGATCACCTATGTTATGGAGGACAGCATTCCCCAGTTTAGCATTCACCCGGCAACTGGAGCAGTCACTACTCAGATGGAACTAGACTATGAGGATCAGGTCTCTTACACTCTAGCCATCACGGCTCAGGACAACGGCATCCCGCAGAAGTCTGACACAACATACCTTGAGATTTCGGTGATTGACGTGAATGACAACTCTCCCCAGTTTCTACAAGATCAGTACCAGGGTTCCATCACGGAGGATGTACCGGTGTACACGAGCGTGGTGCAGGTGTCTGCCACTGACCGTGACTCTGGGCTCAACGGGCGAGTGCTCTATACTTTCCAGGGGGGTGACGATGGTGACGGTGACTTCATTATTGAGTCAACCTCGGGGATCGTGCGTACTCTACGGCGTCTGGACCGAGAGAACGTGCCCAAGTACGACCTGCGGGCCTTTGCTGTGGACAAAGGCTTCCCAGCCCTCAAGACGCCCGTGGACATTCAGGTGACAGTTCTGGATGTGAATGACAACCCACCGGTGTTCGAGAAAGATGAGTTTGACATTCTAGTGGAGGAGAACAGCCCCATTGGCCTGGTAGTGGCCCACATCTCAGCCTCTGACCCAGATGAAGGGAGCAATGCTCAGATCATGTATCAGATTGTGGAGGGCAACATCCCAGAAGTCTTCCAGCTGGACATCTTCTCTGGGGAGCTGACAGCCTTGATGGACTTGGATTACGAGGCACACTCTGAGTATGTTATTGTAGTTCAGGCCACTTCAGCGCCCCTGGTCAGCCGGGCCACTGTGCACATCAAGCTGATCGACAAGAATGACAATCCGCCCGTGCTCAAGAACTTCCAGATCATCTTCAACCATTACGTCACTAATAAGTCCAGCAGCTTTCCCTCAGGGGCCATCGGCCACATTCCCGCTCACGACCCCGATGTATTGGACCGGCTCCATTACAGGTTTGAAGCCGGCAATGAGCTGAACCTCGTCATCCTCAACCAGAGCACCGGAGAGCTTCGACTCAGCCATGACCTGAATAGCAATAGGCCATTGGAGGCTTCCATGAAGATCTCAGTGTCAGGTAAGATTGAAGGTGTCTCTTAATGCCCTTTTAGCTTGAAGAATGCATTATTTATTGTAGAATAACAAATGTCTGTATTTTCTTCTAGCAGTCTTTGGTACTTAGTTTGCTATTTAAGCTTATTTTTGTTTCCATGGCATAAAAAGAATAGTATAAAAATGGAAAACAAAAACTTCATATATATTTTAAAAGTTCATCTAATCTAATAGAATATTAACATTTGTTAGACAACCTTAAAAGTAAAACTTTCTTTTGCTCAGTAATTGCTTTGGGTGCCACTTTACAATAATGCTCCCCATATAAAGGGTTTATGAATGGCTTATAATCTGGATATTAATTAGGTTGTAACACTTTGTAAATTATTAATAGACAATTTTAAACAAGTTATAACACAGTTTTATTTTTATTAATGAATTACTGCCATTTACAAGCCAAAAGGGAGCCTTATTGTAAAGTGGGACCTTGTTTTGTTTATGATACGGTGAATGTTCCTTATTTATGAAAAAGTGGGAAGATGTAACAGGTGTTTTGTCCTGGGATGGTGCTGGGCTGGGCTGCCAGTGCTAAGGATGAATTCGGGTGGAAGAGGACCCTCGGTCTCAGAGGTCATACAAAATCCCCGAGAGAGTACAGAGGAGAGGGAGAAGTCCGATAACAGTAGGCTGAGTAACATAGGGCATGTGCCAGCAGCCAGAAGATATTTAGTGTGAGGATGAGAGAACATTTATCTTACACTGCTGGACGGCGGCGTTTGTTTAAGGCAGGAGTGTGATGGTGTTAACTTTCCAGGAGTGTCTAATGACAGCTGTGAAGTGATTTATGAAGTTTGCTGGAATCTCACTGCAGTAGGCAGGCAGCTCCTTAAGGCTCCTTTTAATTAGTTTCTGCACTGGCGGCACTGGTTTTTGTGTAAATGCAGAATTTTGTTACAGTTTCTCTAAGTAAATAGGGCAGCTCAGTAGCTCAGTGTCTGGCTCTGCGGCCGTGGCTCTTGTTCTGAGTTCCGCTCTGTTCACATGCTTGTGTCGGTTTACTTTCATTACTCTGTTTTACACCAATGGTGAAAAGATATTCCTGCGTTATATTTCTGTATTCTTTGTGCCCTGTGCTTCTGGGGACAGTCTCCTATCCCACCCCTCAAACCTGTTTAGGATAAGAGGTGGATAATGTATGACTGCCGGCCCACGCAGGAGGTCCACTGCCTTCTGCTGCAGGTGTCACCATGCTTCTCTATCGCAGTGACTCCCGATCCAGTTCTCGGGGACCCACAGCCGGTCCACGTTTTTGCTCCCTCCCAGCTCATACCAAAAATGTGGACTGTCTGGCAGGGAGCTGGGAGGGAGCAAAAACATGGACCGTCTGTGGGTCCCCAAGGACCGGATTGGGAAACATTGTTCTATTGGATAAATTGCTTATAGAAAATGGACAGGACTGTAAATAAATAGGAAGTAGACATAGCAAGCTTAAAGAATGTTTGTGCAATAGTCCCCCATTTCCGCGGGTGATACATTCCAAGACCTACCACGGATCAGCGAAAGCGCGATAACAGCGAACCATCTGCAGACTCCATATATAAAGTGATTTTCATGAATTTACATATGGTACTTGATAAATTACGCACAGTAAGACATTACCAACATCAAATACATAAATAGTGCTGTACAGTACTGTATGCTCTAAATAGAACTGTAAATAGTACTGTAGAGTACTATATGCTCTAAATAGAACTGTAAATAGTACTGTACAGTACTGTACTGTACTCTGTCCCTCAAGAGACAATGAAAACATATCATGTATCAAGGGATGTCAGAGTAATGAAAATGAGAGGAATAGGGAACAATGAAAAAACACAGGTTCACAGTTTACAGTTTTTTTTCAGATCGTGGTAAACCGTGATTAACTGAAACTGTGGATACGGACGGACTACTGCATGTATAAACGCTTCCTTCATGCTTGTTTACAGAATGACACTGGTACCTTGATTCAGGGAGTGAGTTTGTTGCTGGTTCCGGACTGATTTTTTACGATGTACATCCATCCAGTTATCCTCAGTCAGGGTTACTGGGGCCTGTACTGGGCAGCACTAGGGAAGGGAGTACTTTGTGTGGGATGCCAGTCCATCGCAGGGCACAAGTGCGACAGGTAATGTGGAGACACCAAGCAGCGTCAGTGCAGGTGGAAACCGGAGCACCTGTGATGGGAGACGCACAGAGTAGCAGCCTGAACGTCCCTCCTGGAAGCGTAAGGCCACAGTGCCGCCCACTGAGCCACGGTGCCGCCCCCCTGAGCCACGGTGCCGCCCACTGAGCCACGGTGCCGCCCCCTGAGCCACAGTGCCGCCCACTGAGCCACGGTGCCGCCCACTGAGCCACGGCGCCGCCCCCTGAGCCACGGCGCCGCCCCCTGAGCCACGGCGCCGCCCCCTGAGCCACGGTGCCGCCCCCTGA